TGTGTGCTTCAAGGGCCTTGTTCACAAAATATAGCTTGCTAGAGATGAAGGGAGACCACTTCTGTTATTTGAGCACTTGAATGGGGATTTAGTCATCTTTTTTACAGTTATTCTTTCATTCAGAGCATCTGTTTAAATTAACTATCCAGTGTTTCCAGATTTCTATGAAATATTACCTATAATTAATTACAATATGAGTGAAATAGTTTTCCTTCCAAATGTATTTGGTTACCCCAACAACAGAATGGTGTGGGCGTATACTGATTGGTCAGCTGACATCATTCTCTATGAGGAAATAGCAAGCATTTTTGAAACAGTCAGTTTGAGATACAAGTTTGATGTGGGGTTTTTGTGGTGATTTTTCTCAAATGTATGCTTTGGCCACAAATATGAGTATTGGATGAGTCAACAACATTATTTGGGTATGACTTAACAGAATATGATATTTTAAAAGTTATATTTTCACTGGACAGCTACTTTAAATTTCACTTCACATTGGCATAATAATGAGAAGCCATAAGCATCATTCCACCTTAGTTTCTTTGACTCCGTATACCATAGTATCCTTTAGAGTGGAGAATCTTGTATCAGTCCCCTGCTGCGTGTGTCTCAACAACATAAGTCATGCTCTCTATGACAATCTCCAGCAAGTGATGCTTGGTTGAATCAACTCTTTTGAATGCATCCAAGCAGTGCAGAGCAAGTCAACTTAACACAGGTGCAGAACCCAGACCTGCCCGTACATGTGCCATGTTTACAGACAGATGAGCACTGCAAGAAATAAACATGAACAAAAACCTCACTTGAATGAATAGCAACCAACTCTAGGGTGAGAAAACTGATGAAAACCGAGCAGCTCCTGTACAGTGAAGCTTTTGACATCTTATTGTTAGACTATGAACACATGCATAGTGAAATGTTATCCTGACCATGTAAGTACTACACTTTTTATAACCCTACAGTTACACAGTATCTGTCAACAGGTCACTATTTATGTTATTATTCATTTTAATAACGGTACATCCATTGAAAATATCATCCATTGCTTTGATTATTCCTTTATGATATGATCCCTATAGTTGATATGGGAGTTACCTGTTGAATACCACTGTATGTAACATGTTAGTTGGGTTGCCTGAGGAGGATCCCCAAGGTCAGTGAGTTATCAGTCTCAGACAGGTTATTGGCGTGGGCGCTTCAAACTTCCAGATAAAGGCTTTGGTTATCTGAACTGGATCAGACTTCTGTTCACACTGGAGTTGTGCTACTGTAAACATGCCCTCCCTCAAATTGTACAGCCCCAGACCATGTCATCTTATCAGCACTGTTTGGAGGATTTTGTCCTCATTTCTCTTTCTGTTTGTCTGGCTACTGTTATAGCTGAAACCTCACTTTGTTGCAATGTTCCTCTGAGGAGAAATAAAACAATTTTGGTCCTTACTCATTCTTTGGTGGGGGATTATTTTTCTAACACAGTAAATAATAATTACTTAAATCTACAGTACAAAATAATATTTAAAATATATTTGATAAATGACATAGATGTCCATTTTCTTTGTGCAATCTCTCCAATCTCCAAATTAATACTTCCCTATTCAATGATAGAGGAAGGGTGCTTCCTCAAATATATTGATAGTCATTCAGTCGATGGCTCTATCAAAAATCTAATGAAATTCGAGTTTGGAAACTCTCATTCTTAAACTCTCCCTGACTTGTAAAAACAATGTGAAATAAGTCAAACCCTTCATTAGGATTAAAGTTAATCCTGTTTATCCATAAACTATTTCACTTCAGTCTGGTTGAGTGTCTCTTAGAGTTCCATCTGAGTTATAACTATTGTGAACAACAACTACCCCACAAGACATGCCACCGGAGGTCTCTTCACAGTCCCCAAGTCAAGAACAGACTATGGGAGGCACACAGTACTACATAGAGCCATGACTACATGGAACTCTATTCCACATCAAGTAACTCATGCCAGCAGTAAAATTAGATTTAAAAAACAGATACAAATACACCTTATGGAACAGCGGGGACTGTGAATCAACACAAACATAGACATATGCATACAAACACACAATAACATACACACTATACACACGTACACATGGATTTTATGTTATAAATATGCGGTAGTAGAGTAGAGGCCTGAGGGCACACACTTAATATGTTGTGAAATCTGTTTTGAATGTATTGTAACGCTTTTAAAATTCATAACTGCCTTAATTTTGCTGGACCCCAGGAAGAGTAGCTGCTGCCTTGGCAGCAGCTGATGGGGATCCATAATAAATACAAACACACATTTGTATTTATTTATTTTTTATTTCACCTTTATTTAACCAGGTAAACCAGTTGAGAACAAGTTCTCATTTACAACTGCGACCTGGCCAAGATAAAGCAAAGCAGTGCGATAAAAACAACAACACAGAGTTACATATGGGGTAAAACAAAACAAAGTCAAAAATACAACAGAAATACATATATATACAGTGTGTGCAAATGTAGCAAGTTATGGAGGTAAGGCAATAAATAGGCTATAGTGCAAAATAATTACAATTAGTATTAACACTGGAATGATAGATGTGCAAGAGATGATGTGCAAATAGAGATACTGGGGTACAAATGAGCAAAATAAATAACAATATAGGGATGAGGTAGTTGGGCGGGCTAATTTCAGATGGGCTGTTCTTCAGATGGGTATTGTTCTTGAAAATGCTCTCTGATTTTAATGTTGAATTTAATTATATATTTTTTTATGTTTGCATAAAATTGATAGCACCCTCTTGTATCTGAGATGTCAAATCAATACATGCTCTGCTAGAGCGAGGCGGACCTGTGATTATCAGTGGATGGATCATCATCAGCGTGGGTCTATGCTGCAGGTAAATGCTGCTTGGTCTGACTCAGCGTCATGGCCCATTGTTCCTGCCCTCACTTTGAGTGACATGGATGAGAAATCATCTGTCCAGGAGAGCACCAGGAGAGGGGCTTCTGGAGGAGAAAACCACCAACTCAAAACACGTCTGACTCATTTACAATGAATCACAAAAACAGGCCAATGACAATCAAGGTACATTGAGCTAAATTGAGGTGAAGTAGTAGACAACTCCTCCAGACACTGACGCCTCAGGCTTGGGAAAGCGGTGCCTCCTCAGCTGATAAGAGTGAGGCCCTTGCACTTCGGCTATGTGATTGAGTGGGGAGAGGAGGCACTAAATACAAGCCATGGATAATATAAATATGCTTCCAGAGTTTCCTGGAAACAGACAACTGGACCGAGTGCATTCCATGGCTGCCAAAGAGGTCAGTGGGTTGCATTCCATTTTTCTCATTCATGGTACCATCATATCTTACTCTTGCCTACCCTTATGCTACCCTGCCTTTCTCAATGAAAAAATGTCAATAAAGAGATTGCTATTATTAGGTGGCATGACATTGCTGAGATATGGGCCACAATGCAGCTTCCCTGACTGCCATGCAAGAGTCACATGCTCAACTCAACAACCATTTAATTGTGGGCATTCTACCGACAGTTTTACCCCTTATTTGATCCTGAAGGTTATACACTAACTTTCGTTTCCCCCATAGCTCCATATAATAATTAGGTGGATGCTTATATTTGTCCTAATTCACACAAGTACAAGTGTGTATTATATGCATGTGTGAATTGGAAGTGTGTTTTTTGCATATATATCCCAGCTCCCTCTGAGACACCCTCGGAGAGTGCAGTCATGGCTAGGGTCTGCCATTATCAAAGGTGACCCTTGCTCAAGGGCACATCGGCAGATTTTTCACCTTGTTGGCACAGGGATTCAAACTAGCAACCTTTCGGTTAGTGGCCCAACGCTATAACCACTCTAACCGCTAGGCTATCTGCTGCCTCAACGTGTCTATCCCTTGCCTGTCTCACAGTTCTCACAAGCATGCTTGTGGGGGAAACCACTTATCATTTCATGTAGTCACCACAATGAGGAACTGCCTTCAGTAGGGTCAATTAAAGACACCTTGATGTTGAATCGAGCCTCAGTTTAAATGGATGGATAGGGGCTCTTTATCTGTTAAAGAAGCCAAGCATCGTTGTTTAGAGAGAGCCCTCATGTTTTCTGAAGATCCCAGCCAAACCCTTATCTGCTCATGTAATTTGCTAGTATTATCAGAGTTTAACTACAGGTACAACCATTGTTTGCCTCTGGCAACAGTTACTGTAGACCATATTTCAAGCATGAATTCCTGAATGTAAGAATATACATTTCAGTTTAAAGCAACATTCATGGCTCCTCCAGGGAGAGGAGTTTGTCAAGATATTGCCAAGTAAAATTTTAGTCACACCTTATGTCTCCAACCAGCCATGGCCCTTTGCATACATAGTGTTTTAGTGTTTCACTGTTCTTTATCTTCAGCATCTCAGAGCTCAGAATTATGACATTTATGCTTACACAGAGCAATAAAGTGTTAGCTGTAACTCTGTAAAATGGAAAGAGTAAACTTGAGTAAACGCTGGGTCATTTTCAATAACCATCACTACTCTCAATAGTAATGAGCATATTTGCACTGTTTAAATTATTTGTGAGCTGCATGGGTACAGAACAATTTTGCAAGATTTATATTACTACAGCTGGCAAAAGTTTTCATAGACCTTGACACTACAATTTCCTTAGAATTAATTAAAGTATCAATTTCAAATCAGTCACCCTTTATTTTCTTACAACTTCAGGAAAAAAATCAACATAAAAAATGAAAATGCAAGTAACAAAGTGATTGGTCATTTTTTATGTGATAACTTACTCAGAGGTATAAACTTTAAATATAAAATGACAGCTGAAAGTTTGACATAGGTAGGCTACAGTTTAGCCATATAAAAGTAGATTGTGAACAAATTTGACAAGTTACTGTGCTGAATAGATCAAATACCTAGGTAACATAATTAGTTGTTTAACATGCTCTCCTCATAAGGCATAGTGTCCATATTGACATTAATATTGTCCAGTATTATGTAATGTTCACCACAGGATTGGTCTCCATGTGCTATTGAAGTCATACACATATGGTTGGTATTTATATGTTTTGTAGAACGTGGTGAGAAGCGACGCTCTAACTAAATCGTCCTCTGTACTTCGTTCTTCTGATTTTTGAAAGATGTCCTTACAGTACTCCGTAGCTTGCTGCTTCCGTTTGGTTTTGTATCTTCTGTTCTGAAACCAGATTTTAACTTGGGTCTCTGTCAGTCTCAACTTGTTGGCAAGATGGGCTCTTTCGGGAGCCGACAGGTACTTCTGGTGATTAAATTTATTCTCCAGTTCTAGCACTTGCAGATGCGTGAAGGCAGCGCGCGAGCGCTTCTGTTTGCCAACTAATGTAAAACTTATCATGGCATCTGGGGTGCTGGAACAAGAGCTGTCAATGAAATCTGTAAAAGAGAGACGTGATTAGCCCATTTGTGGTGTGGTGACTTTGCGTCAAAAGCTGGCATTTGACAGGTAAACTGCCTACTCCACAGGTTAATATGGAATAGGTTTATTTCCTGTTGTTATTAGTATGATTCCAGGGAATCTGGTACATCACCGTCAATCAATACCTTAGCCTAAACTATTTTTAAGTAGCCTAAATGCAATCCAATGAGCTCACCTCTACGCGCTTCAAATGCTGTATCCTGTGCGCAAAGTTCCTCTGATTGTGATACTTGCTCGGGCTGTTGGTTATTCCATTGCGCGCATTCCTCCTTGGACTTGTGTGAGGAAGAGCGCCTGAAGTTTAGCCGTGTCTTATCTTTAATGGACAGGATGTCCTCGATGAAAAACGAAGTTGGTGACTTGACTGTCTCCGACATTCTGCAGTTAGGAATCCACCGTATGGGCCAACGAATGTATGCTAGGCTTGACTGAAGCGCACAAGCCAAGTTGGGAATGATGCCCGGGACACAGGGGTAACTCTTAACAAAGCGTATACCTTCTCAATGACTTACTGGCGCGTCAATTTATACTAGTGCTGTAGTGGTCATGACAGCACCAGCGACTGGCGAGACGGGTTGTCTCGTCGACGTCACTGGTGTAGGCTACCTAGATGACACTGGTGATAGGAACAGAACCGCTGTGCTCACTTTACATTGATTTATTCTTGATTTTAAGATATCTTTGTCATGGCACCTCATGTGAGACTTCATGATATAGTAAAATTAATAATTCTATATAAATAATATTGCATGGACAATAAATAAAATGAACATGTGCATTTACCAGTGTCTCCCTGATATTTAAACATATTTATATTTGTATTTATAAAACATTATGGCTACTGTTCAAAAGTGGAAATACTATTGTGATTTGATCAGATAGGACTTGGAAGATCTGGGGATGAGGCCCTTTGTCTTGTGCTCATTATTGGAGCTGTGAGATGTATTACTAAATGTGTGCAACAGGATAGCTATATTCATTACAGCCATGCCTGGGCTTCAGCCATGCCTGGGGAGTAAGTGACCCTTGTGTCTGTGCTTGCGGGGGCTGCCAGTGCCAGGGAGGGGTCAGGGTGGGTGGCCAGCCGTCTTGGAGGGGCTAATGTGTTCAGCAGATTTAGACCTCCTCCTTAACCGACACATACATTGTTCAACGGCTGTTTGTTTGTTGTGCTCTACCATGCTTCTGCCTGTTTTTTTTTGCAGTGGCACAAACCCTTGGAGAATTGAGACTCAGTTTGTAATAACAAGAATCTAGGGACGACAAACAGATCAGTTTTCCCCCACATGCCCCCTGCCCTCACCTATTATCTCATCAGCTCCTTTACATTTACATTTTAGTCATTTAGCAGACGCTCTTATCCAGAGCAACTTACAGTTAGTGAATACATATTTTTTTATACTGGCCCCCCGTGGGAATCGAACCCACAACCCTGGCGTTGCAAACGCCATGCTCTATCAACTGAGCTACATCCCTTTACCTACCAAACCATGGAAAGCTAATCATTATTATTTTTATTTTACTTTCCCTTTTCTATCGTTACACTGCAGATTAGATGCAAATAACAAGTTTGCTTAAAATATATCATTTTATTTATTGTACATTCATAATTCACCAGTTTTCTTTATTCCCATTATTTTATATGACTGATTGGATCTCAAGAGAGGTCAGGTTGAGTTACCTTTCTAAGAAGATCATGTAGCCTAGTATTTTAAGTAGAAAAACAAGAGCATGGATATTTTAGGGTCTAACTTCATTTCAAACATTAGCTGTTTTCATGTAAACATTTTATTAAGATGTTTTGTTTGATAAGGTTCACCTTGAATTATTTGTCTGCCTCTCTCCCCCGGCTCCCTCTGTGAGTATGTTGCACTGTGGGATATATCTTCTCACAGTGCCTTTATTCCTTATGTAAGTCTTTGATGAAGTATTTTTTCCTGTTTAATGTTTTCCCCCGATGCCTATCTTAATTGTAAATGCATAAACCCTGTTTATCCTGTATACTGGCTATGTCATCTCCTACCCTGAATGTTAAACAAGCTGTGTAATTAAGATAGCATTACTCATATCATGTGGACACTGGTCTCTGTCTCTCCTGTAGACCACCATTGTGTCCTAAAGCTCATAGGATGGTGCAGATATGTAGTAGAAAATGTATCTTGGCTGGCCCAGCATGGCCACACCAGATGTTGGCTTGTTAGAATCTGACCCTATAGCCTAGGAAGGCATTAGTCTTACACCATACATCATAACATGTTTCTGTCTGTTATTTTGTTTCCACCCAGTCAAGATGTCTTGGTTTGGACTATCAATCTTCTGTTATTTTTATTCAGTACAATTATTTTTGTCCAATTCATGCTAGTTGTAATGAATATAATAATACGTTATACATTTAATTTATAAATCACTTTTCTCCACGTTCTGCCTCTATACAACACAGTAAAAAAAAGTTTGACATGAAACCGTCGTGGAGATGCCCTCTAGTGGTGCAAATGCAGCAGCGCACAGGATCAAATACTCATCTCTCACTTTGCACGAAGGGGTATGTAAAATAGGGACCTTGTTGGCCTAGCAATCCTAAATGCAGCAATGTTGCAGGAGGCAGGCAGGATCGGGTGCAGAAGTTGTGGTTTTATTTACAGATGATGATCGTGATCCAGAAGTTCAATTTACAAAATAATCAACATTGACATTTACAAACTTCTCAATATAACTTCAATGAAAATAATAATTATTAAAAAAAAAATTTAGGGGGTAGATCAGCTTTAATATTGCAGATAGATTGTAGCTTCCATCAATGTAATTGTCTGCATCATTTCCAATCCCCCATATATATTGTTAAAAAATACATATATATACACTACCGGTCAAAAGTTTTAGAACACCTAATCATTCAAGGGTTTTTCTTTATTTTTACTATTTTCTACATTGTAGAATAATAGTGAAGACATCAAAACGATGAAATAACATATATGGAATCATGTAGTAACCAAACAAGTGTTAAACAAATCAAAATATACACACTACCGTTCAAAGGTTTGGGGTCACTTAGAAATGTCCTTGTTTTTGATAGAAAAGCAATTTTTTTGTCCATTAAAATAACATCAAATTGATCAGAAATACAGTGTAGACATTGTTAATGTTGTAATTGGCTATTGTAGCTGAAAACGGCAGATTTCTTTATGGAATATCTACATAGGCGTACAGAGGCCCATTATCAGCAACCATCAGTCCTGTGTCCCAATGGCACGTTGTGTTTGCTAATCCAAGTTTATCATTATAAAAGGCTAGTTGATCATTAGAAACCCTTTTGCAATTATGTTAGCACAGCTGAAAACTGTTGTGCTGATTAAAGAAGCAATAAAACTGGCCTTCTTGAGACTAGTTGAGTATCTGGAGCATCAGCAATTGTGGTTTCGATTACAGGCTCAAAATGGCCAGAAACAAAGAACTTTCTTTTGAAACTCGTCAGTCTATTCTTGTTCTTAGAAATTAAGGCTATTCCATGCAAGAAATTGCCAAGAAACTGAAGATCTTGTACAACACTGTGTACTACTCCCTTCACAGAACAGCGCAAATTGGCTCTAACCAGAATAGAAAGAGGAGTGGGAGGCCCCGGTTCACAACTGAGCAAGAGGACAAATACATTAGAGTGTCTAGTTTGAGAAACAGATGCCTCACAGGTCCTCAACTGGCAGCTTCATTAAATAGTACCCGCAAAACACCAGTCTCAACGTCAACAGTGAAGAGACGACTCCGGAATGCTGACCTTCTAGGCAGAGTTGCAAAGAAAAAGCCATATCTCAGACTGCCCATCTTAATCTTTTATTTTTATTGGCCAGTCTGGGATATGGCTTTTTCTTTGCAACTCTGCATAGAAGGTCAGCTTAATTTCTCAGAACAAGAATAGACTGACGAGTTTCAGAAGAAAGTTCTTTGTTTCTGGCCATTTTGAGCCTGTAATCGAACCCACAATTGCTGATGCTCCAATTACTCAACTAGTCTCAAGAAGGCCAGTTTTATTGCTTCTTTAATCAGCACAACAGTTTTCGGCTGTGCTAACATAATTGCAAAAGGGTTTTCTAATGATCAATTAGCCTTTTCAAATGATAAACTTGGATTAGCAAACACAATGTGCCATTGGAACACAGGACTGATGGTTGCTGATAATGGGCCTCTACGCCTATGTAGATATTCCATTAAAAATCAGTAGTTTCCAGCTACATTAGACATTTACAACATTAACAATGTCTACAATGTATTTCTGATCAATTTGATGTTATTTTAATGGACAGAAAAATTGCTTTTCTTTCAAAAACAAGGACATTTCTAAGTGACCCCAAACTTTTGAACGGTAGTGTATTTCCACCGGTATAATGTCCATTGCTCGTGTTTCTTGGCCCAAGCAAGTCTCTTCTTCTTATTGGTGTCCTTTAGTAGTGGTTTCTTTGCAGCAATTCGACCATGAAGGCCTGATTCACACAGTCTCATCTGAACAGTTGATGTTGAGATGTGTCTGTTACTTGAACTCTGTGAAGCATTTATTTGGGCTGCAATTTCTGAGGCTGCTAACTCTAATGAACATATCCTCTGCAGAAGAGGTAACTCTGGGTCTTCCATTCCTGTGGCGGACCTCATGAGAGCCAGTTTCATCATAGCACTTGATGGTTTTTACGACTTCACTTGAAGAAACATTGAAAGTTCTTGAAATGTTCCTTATTGACTGACCTTCTTATGTCTTAAGGTAATGATGGACCGTCGTATCTCTTTGCTTATTTGAGCTGTTCTTGCCACATTATAGACTTGGTCTTTTACCAAATAGGGCTATCTTCTGTATACCCACCCCCCCCACCTTGTCAGAACACAACTGATTGGCTCAAACGCAATAAGAAGGAATGAAATTCCACAAAGTAACTTTTAAGAAGGCACACCTGTTAATTGAAATGCATTCCAGATGACTACCTCATGAAGCTGGTTGAGAGAATGCCAAGAGTGTGCAAAGCTGTCATCAAGGCAAAGGGTGGCTATTTGAAGAATCCCAAATATAAAATATATTTTGATTTGTTTAACACTTTTTTGGTTACTACATGATTCCATATGTGTTATTTCATAGTTTTGATGTCTTCACTATTATTATACAATGTAGAAAATAGTAAAAATAAAGAAAAACCCTTGAATGAGTAGGTATTCTAAAACTTTTGACCGGTAGTGTAAGTATTCAGACCCATCCAGCAGTCCGCCCAGGTCAGCGATGCCCGATTGTCCCTCCCGGACAAATATGATGGGACTCCATCTAAATGCCATGGCTTCCTACTCCAGTGCTCCCTCTATTTCACCCATCAGACGGGATATCCTACCACTGAGAGGTGCAAGGTTG